ACAACATGATTTGGAAATGAGGCCTTTCTTAAATACTATTATAGTAACTAAGTAAAGTGTGATGTGAAACAAGCAAAATACCTACCCTTTCCTTACATAAATGATGCCTATTGTTTATAACAACTTCAGTTTTCCAGAAATAATTGAAGTTGAAAGATAAAAACAACAAGACATCTATTATCACTGATGCCTAAAACGAGAAGTAGCATCAGCATTTATGTAACCACCAGCACTATTGGAGGCTTTTCACATCTGCAAAATAAAAAAAGCGATGATGTATAACATAATTCACAACCCCATTATTTGTTTCTACGATGTTGTAATTGATAATATGCATCAGCATAATAGATATCACTGATGCTGTTAGACCTCTTTAGCCTCATCCCTTTCAAAACTACTGATGATGTTGGACCTCTTTAGCCTCCTCCCTTTTGAAAGTACTGATGCTGTTTCGAGTTTAGGCGTCAGAAGTCAACCTTTTTTTGGCACCCGGAAATCATTTAGGCATCGGAGTTTACTTGATATCCGATGTAGTAAGTAATAAACAGCGACGGAGAATATCTGTTGCCTATTACATAGGAATAGGCAACAGTCACCAATACCACGGTATTTATGTGTAATAGGCAACGGATTTTATCCGATGCTAAAGCCCTTTTTTGGCATAGTGATTCCACAGTTCTAGATATCGGACTTCACTCAAAACTAAACAAATGACTCCTCCCACCATGTTATGATGTTGCCCAAGTTTTGGGCTCAATCCGAAATCAATAGGTGTAAGAAATTGGACAATTCAAGTTCAAAGGCAGTTCGTTCCAAATTGGAGTGGTTGGTGTTTTGGGTAGTTCTAGAGATCGGATTTCACTCAAACTCAGCCAAATGACTCCTCGCACCATATTATGATGTTGCCCAAGTTTTGGGATCGATCCGAAATCAATAGGTGTAAGAAATTGGACAATTCAAGTTCAAAGGCAGTTTGTTCCTAATTGGAGTGGTTGGTGTTTCGGGTAGTTCTAGAGATCGGATTTCACTCAAACTGAACCAAATAACTCCTCCCACCATATTATGATGTTGCCCCAGTTTTGGGCTTGATCCTAAATCAATAGGTGTAAGATTTTGGACAATTCAAGTTCAAAGGCAGTTCGTTCCTAGTTGGAGTGGTTGGCGTTTTAGGTAGTTCTAGTGATCGGATTTCACTCAAACTTAACCAAATCACTCGTCCCACCATATTATGACCTTGCCCAGGTTTTGGGCTCGATCCGAAATCAATAGGTGTAAGAAATTGGACAATTTATCTTCTGAGGTAGTTCGTTCCTAATCGGAGTGGTTGGTGTATTCCACAGTTCTAGAGATCGGATTTCACTAAAAACTAAACAAATGACTCCGCCCACCATATTATCTTGTTGCCCAAGTTTTGGGCTCGATCCGAAATCAATAGGTGTAAGAAATCGGACAATTCAAGTTGAAAGCCAGTTCGTTCCTAATTGGAGTGGTTGGTGTTTTGGGTAGTTCTAGAGGTCGGATTTCACTCAAACTTAAGCAAATGCCTCCTCCCACCATATTATGAGGTTGCCCAAGTTTTGGGCTCGATCGGAAATCAATAGGTGTAAGAAATTGGACAATACAAGTTCAAAGGCAGTTCGTTCCTAATTGGAGTGGTTGGTGTTTTGGGTAGTTCTAAGGATCGGATTTCACTCAAACATAACCAAATGAGTCCTCCCACCATATTATGATGTTGCCCAAGTTTTGGGCTCGATCCAAAATCAATAGGTGTAAGAAATTGGACAATTTAT